AGTCACCCCCTCCCTGGCCGGATTTCTGGATTAGTCCCGACATCTCGCAATATCCCTCCTTTTCACACTCCATTAAAGTGGCATTGCGGACCTTTCATTTTTCTTCCATTCAAGTGAATTTGGTTTTGGTGGCGGGTGCCAAATTGGTGGAGCTGGAGACACAGGTCACTGCCTTCCTCCAGCCTGCCCATGGCCCCCAATGGCACAGCTTACTGAAAGTTGGCCAGTGCCCATTTGGCCACACTGGATGGTTCTCCGAGGGTTTGGGGAAGTCCAAAGCAAGGAAGCAGCCCCACCACCTACCAGACGAGCCTGCTAGCTGCACAGAACACACGCACACGCACACACATGCACACACACACACGTCCTCACTTGCTTGGAGAGCCTTCCTTGAAGTAGCGATGCCACCAGGACTATGAGCTCTTTTCTCCCTACAGCTAAGTTGTTGGGTTCCCATCCTTTCATCTCGCTTTCGTTTTATGAGGCTTTTCTTTCTAGAATGTTCTTTTTCCCTAAATCTTTTTTCTTAGGCTTCACTAGACTCCCAGCCTCCTACCTTCTCTTTGTAGCCCCCAGAGGCATAGTCCTGCCCCACTAACAGGCTTCTGTTTCAGGTATTTCTCAAGTTTTTAAGATTACTCATTCGTTTATTCAAGTTAGTGTGTACAGTCACTGACTACATGCTCTCTATTTGTTATAAGCCAGAGAGTGTGGGTGACAGTGACCTATAGGAAAGGTAACCCAGCACAGTGGTTGAGGGTCCTGGCCCTTGAGCCAGGCTGCCTAGGTTTGAGTCTCAGCTCCGCCACTCACAATTTGTAACTTGACATTGAGTAATTTATAAGAATTTAAAACTATAGATATAGCATTAACAATATAACCAGTACATAATAAGTGCTGAATAAATATTAGCTTATTACCACTGTTATATGATTGTATTCATTTCCTATTGCTGTATAAAAAGTTACCACAAATTTAAAAGCTTAAAACAATATAAATGTATTATCTCACAGCCTCTGAGGGCCACAGAATGGCCAAAGGCTCTGCTCAGGGTCCCGCCTGGTTGAAATCCAGCTGTGGGCAAGCTGCCTGTGGTCTTCCTTCAGCCTCACTGCTCGTGATTGTAGGAGTGAGCGAGTCACCACTCTCCCGCTGCTGCTTTGCCATGCGGGCCCCGTAGACAGCTTAGATATGGCTCTTGGCTTTCTTCCAGACCCAGATCTGAAGGGTCGCACAATGAGGTCAGGTTTACCACAGTGACCTTCCTTTTCAGTTACTCCAAATTCCGCTAATCAGTAACCTTAACGACATCTACAAAAACTCCTCTTGCCGTATAATGGAACATAATCACGGGAGTGATATATTGACAGGTTCCGCGTCCAGGGGGACAACGTTTTAGAAAGGGAGTGTCATGGACGGTCACCTTAGACCTCTGCCTTCCACAGTGGCCTCTGATAGGAGTAACTAGTACAGACTAACCTGCAGTTAGTTCTGTATAAATGACACTGAGCACTGTGGGAGTTCACTTATCCTTTCACAGTAAGAGTCCCCCAGCAGTGAAGGATGTGGATAATAGACTAAATTACTTTCATAGGGCTGGCATAACAAAATACTGCAAACTGGGGGACTTAAAACAACAGAAATTTACTTTCTCACAGTTCTGGAAGCCAGATATCCGAAATTGAGGCGTTGGCAGGTTCCTGCCGCCGCCGAAGGCGCTAGACTCTAGAGAATAATCCTCCCCTGCCTCTTTCTAGATGGTTACCATCCACCCCTGGCGTTCCTTGGCATGTGGGCGCATCACTTCATTCTCTGCCTTTGTCTTCACATGGTTTTCTTCCCTGTGTGTCTCTGCATTCAACTTACCTCTTCCTGTAAGGACACCAGTCTTGCCATTAGAGCCCACCCTAATCCCCTGTGACCTCATCTTAACTTGATTACATCTGCAAAACCCCTTTTCCAAATAGGGCCCATTCACAGGTACTGGGGGCCAGGTCTCCGGCATAACTCTGTGGGCAGACACAATTCAACCCACAACGAGAACTATATCAGCACATACCTACCTCTTCCTCCCCTAAATCAGCGGCATTTGGAAAGCTCGGCTTCCTTCTTTGCATTCAGTGGCTTTTCTCCGTGTGTCCCAGGTACCATGTCTGGACAAAAGGCCACGCGCCCACAAACTTCGCCAAGTGGCGGACCGCCACCACGCCTTACCGGGTTGAATGGGAGGCCGATTTTGAGCCGTACGTTGTCGTGAGACGGGACTGCCCTGAGTATGACCGGAGGTTTGTGGGCTTTGGTTGGAACAAGGTGGCTCATATCATGGAACTAGATGCGCAGGTAAGGAGACTGGGATGTCATGGACCTGGGCGGAAGGGGCGGGGCGGGGAGGCGAGGCCTTGATCTTAGAGCCGAAAGGGGCCTTGGAGGTAAGAACACAGAGACCTAAGAGGGAATAAAATATGTCCAGGGACCTGGACCTCTTTCTTCTTTCCTTGCTTGAGAGCTGGGTTCCAGGCCAAGACCCAGGCAAATGTGGGTGTGTTGTGACAAACATTTCACCCCCTCATCTTCACTCAAGCCAGTGATGAAGACAAGCAAATGATGACCACTCATCACTCACCTTGTGAGTCGTATAATTGACACAAAGCATTCCACGAGTTTCATCTAAATAAAGTATGCAGCTAAGATGGAGCTCATTATCCTACGCTATAACTGAAAGTGTGATATTTTAGAGCTATATTTAGTCATGACACCCTTCATTCATTCAGCTAATACTTGTTGAGCACCTACTTCGAAATCTCCTGCAAAATTCTAAGAGATTAAACCAAACCAAAGATTTGCAAACTTTTTTCTGTAAAGACCAAGATAAGCACTGTAGGGGGCTTTATAGGGTCTCATTTTCAATGACAACTACTCAGCTGCCATAGTTCAGTCATTCACAGTGTCTAAACAAATGAGTGTGACTGTGTTTTAGTAAAGCCTTATTTATAAAATCATGCAGTGGGCTGGACATGCTTTAGTTGGTCAACCCTATTTTAAGCAAAAGCAAAGCTGATCGGATTAAGTTAGGAAGGGTGCGTGGACCCCTCAACCCAACCCTCCTTCTCTTTGTATGATGTTCTCCAATGCACCTTTCAACGAGAGCACCCCAAAGTCAGGCAAAGCAAAGATGGATGCTCAAGCCTGGCTTCGCTGAGAATCAACCTTGAGAACTTTCCAACAGTTCCAGTGTGTTTGAGAGTAGTCCCAGCTGGTTTTCATGAACATTAGGTCTGAGAACCACTGACATAGATAAAATATTGCAGAACAGTGTCCATATGTAACAGCAGAGAGCTCAATCTTTAGGATCCATATTTTCAGTAATACTTGGAAGGGGTCCAGTGCTATTCACAGACAGAAATGTTGAGTCTACCTCAGCGTCTGCTTGAGAGAAACATTGTAATAGTCCTGCATCCAGCAGTGGGTTGAGGTGAGCTGGCTCAAAGTTAATTTTCCAGCACCAAGATCTGGGCTTTGTTTATTTCAGGCAGTTTTGACAGAACTCTTGAAAATTTCTTGCTTATTTTCCTTTCTTTGCCAATAGCATATGCCGAACATAATTTTACCCTTTCCAACAATTTCAGGAAATAATGAATAGACACCTGACAGGTAATCCAGCCACACCTATGGGTCCAGTGGAATTGATACAGCTCTTTGTCCCCACTCGAAATGTCTCAGCCAGCTAAGCTCTGGGAGTTCTTGAATTTTCTTTTCATGGATTTTCTCACTTCTTCCTCACCATCAGCTGTCATTTTTTTTTCTGCTATCATTATTCCTCCATCTATAGGCTGCCTTTCCCCATCCCAATTTTTCCCTCTCTGAGTTTATTCTGCTCTGGGCTGGGAAACTAGATGACCAAGCTTCTCAGACATTATATCCAAAATCGGTGCACATAGATTTTCTGAATGAAAGTGTGCTGGGTCCTCTGAGTTACAGGTCCTAAATTTCTGTCACCTGTTTTGGCTATGCAGAGGCATTTTATTTTTGATCTGAGTTTCGGTCTGTATTTTGCCGTGTGGAGGTTGCCATATGATGGCATGACTCGTGTTAAGATGTGTAGGCAAGAGTTTTGTTCTTGAGGAGCTTCAGTCCAGTGGAAGCTTGTTTTCTGTATTCCTTTTCTGTCCCCTCTTCTGTACTAATCTGTTGAGGCTGTCAGTTCTCATCAAGCCCTATGAGAAGTCATAGCAAATGACGTCATTTCATTGAGCCAGAGAATCTCTCATGGCCTGCATCATTCAAGAGCAACCACGTGGGTATGTGCTCACATGATCAGGAAACTTTTATGGGCCATGAGCTCCGCCCAGCACTAGCCATACATTATTAGTCATCTTTCAAGGTAGGTATTATTACTTTCACGTTATAGGTGAGGGAACTAAGGCTCAGAGAAGCGTGGTAATTTGCCCAAAGTCACGGAAACAACGTGGTTTGCGCTGTCCGTGGTGCTGCCCCCCTTTCGATGTCATTCCTCACTGCATTCCTTTACTGTCATTCGGTCCTCCACTTGGAGTCATCATACATTACCGAGGGTGCTCAAGATGCTCTCGAAAGTGCTCAAGCTGCTCTTGTCTTCTTCCAGGAATATGAATTCATCGTGCTGCCCAACGCCTACATGATCCACATGCCTCACGCCCCCAGCTTTGACATCACCAAGTTCCGGTCCAACAAGCAATACCGCATCTGTCTCAAAACCCTAAAAGAAGAGTTTCAAAAAAATTCCCGCCGCTATGGCTTTGCTGCCCTCAAATATCTCACGGCCGAGAACAACAGCTAGCACCAAGAAGCCACCACTAGGGAGAGACATTCTTCAGGGGGAGAGCCACTTGCTGTTTGGGGCCCAGCCTTCAAACTCAAAACTGAGCAGTGCTTTTTTTTTTTTTTTTTTGGTTTCTTTTTATTTCTCCCTTTGGCCCAACAAAGCTGCCCACACTAGAGATCTGAGACAAGGATTAAGTCACATCCTCTGCGCCCCACGACCCGGCATTTCTAGAATGTGGAAAAATAGCTCATCCACACAGAATCTGAAAGAATGGGACATGGAGGGTGAGAGGGAGCAATGGGGTTACCCTACCACAAAGCCGCAAAACTAAGCAGGTCTTTAGGATGTTCTCGTTGCTTTTTAAGAGAGAGAAGTCAGGGTGTCGGGGGTCAGCCATCCCAGGAAATAAAAGCAAAAATGTGTCTTCATTCAAAGGAAACTTTCTTCTTTGCCCCAGCATCTAGCTGGCTATCCAAGGGGAGGGCAAACCAATGATCAGAACCAACCATTTGGAAAAACCCAGTGGGGGATGTTGTACCTGGTAGGGCCTGGTGGTGGGGTTGGTTGGTTCTTTATCCTCAAGGTCGCACTTGTTTTGATTTTCGTTTATTCGGGGGGATTTTGTTTGTTTGTTTTTGGTCTGGGAATCCAAAATAGAAAATCTGATCTTTTAAGGCTCTGAAGGAAAAACCAACTGCCTCAACCAACGCCCGTCTATCAGCAGTGGCCCAGCAAGGAGGAAGAGGCTTCAGCCAGTGGTTAAACATGGGCAGCCTTCGTCAGGATTATCACCGAGGCCCCCATGACCTTGAATTCCTTCCTCCCCAGAATCCAGGGGCTAAGATGGAAATACGAAAACCGATTGTCTCACCACCGGTCACATTTTCTATTGGCAATGACTGATTCGTGGGGAAAGGGCTTCGAAGGGGCTGTTTGAGCGCACATGAAAGGTATGAACCTCTCAGGCCTTTAGAAGAACTTTCGCAATTCAGGCGAGCCCAGTTCCGAAGATTCACCCATCCATTTGGAGCCCGTCGCGAAGAAGGTGTTAGGTTCTTCTGTGTTCGTGCCTGCTTTCCTACGGCTGGGTCGAGGTCACAACCTCAGGCTCCATTTGGAACCAGTACAGAGGGTAGGCAAGCACCTTCACTGTTACACAGATTGAGGAGACACTGGACTTTCTACCCATTTTCTTGAATCTTCAATATTAATGTTGTGTTTACATTGATGAGAATAAGAGTCAGTGCCCTACTCTGCTGGGCTGTTTGTATTGAGTTGCAATGTGACCAGCGAACGCTGCATTCAATAAACGGAAGTATGGACTGTTTCTTCCCCACTCCCCTCCCACTCTTGTAAGAAATCTGCTGAGGCACACTTCCGTGTAGAGAGCAGAATTGATAAATGGCAACTTTACACGTCCTGTTCTCCCGTTTTATTTTTCTCATCCTTTGAACTTCAGCCATTTTTCTCCTTGCCCGAGTTTAGATTTCACTCTCTCCTTTAACCCTCAGAGCATTTGCACATTTACCATTTAGTAGCTGTCTCAACTCTAAAGCCAGATGTTTTATATATACCAGATGCGGGCTAGCGAGGTAAATTGTGGTCATCAGTAGTATAGTGAACCCCGCCATCCGTTTGTCCTGGTGGTCATATGAAGCCCCACGCCAGCCTGGTTTATGAGACCCTCGATGTGTTACATGCTCCAGTGGATATTTCGCTCAGATTTATTTTAAAAATTAGGAAAACAACTATTAGGACTATGTCACACAGATATATCACACTTATAGCACGCAGATATAAGTAAGTTTATGTGTCTCCGTATGTAGGTGTTTGTGTGTGTGTGTGTATATACACATGTGTGTATTATATACATACATTACATATATTGCACATCTTCAGCATGTGTATTATAAAATACATGAATAGTGTGAAAAGGAAAACATTACCAACGTATTCAAAGTACATGTTAAATACCCTTTGTCCATTGGGATGTGGGAGCCAGCTCCTACCAGCTCTCAAGAACTTAACTGTGTGCGTCTCTTTTCTCCTGTGTTCAGTGATACCTCATTTGTGGCTTGAAAATGGCCATGATGGGAGTAGTTACACCATAGAAATCAGAAGACACCACCACGCCTCAGAGCCAATTGTTAATTATATACCAGCACACCGATGCCTTTCCTCTGTGTACACACAGAGCCACACAAAAATTCTCTTCCTCCTCTAGAGAAGGCTGGGATCAACAGATGTACTGATACAGTTTTTGAATTAATCACTACCAAAAACTTGAGCCAAGTGAAAATGTGCTGGGCACCACTGATTCCTCAATGTTAAAAATCAATTTTTAATTTCTTAAAAGCTTTTACTTTTTTTTTAACTTTTCATGGCACCTGAATCATGCCCGGCCACCTTGCTTTCACTTGCAGTTCTAAGGGTATAGTAGTGACCATATAATTTATCTTCCAAACTGGGTCACCTCCGAGAATGAAAGAAGGTGCTAATTACTTTGAAACAATAAATGTAAATTGGGGGACCATGTAGCTTTATGTACACTGAATTTATAAAAGTCTGAAACTGACATTTCACACCAGTAGGAGAAAATCCTATTTCCCCCGCAAACAGATGCCCGACACTGTGAAGTCCATCTCACAGCTAGAGCACAGATGTTGACTGACACCCAAGTTCAACATGGAGGCTGAGACAACAGCCTAATTCCCCGGAACTTACATTGGGAGCAGCAGCTCATTGCCAGCCGCAGCTCATCTGTGGGGAGCTTACACCATTTGGGCAGAGGCAATTGCTGTCGATGTTGATCCCTCCATATCAGTTCCTTAGGGTAGAACAAGCTTGTAAATGGGTCACACTGATGTTTTCATGCTTAGATAAGCTAATACTATCTTGGTTTTCAGCTGGGAGGAAGAAAAGGATTTTCTTATTTAGCCCTTATCATATTCAGTGTCTGGCAGAGCTAAGATTTATTGAGTAACCACTGTGTGGAAGGACCTTTTGTATGGATTAACTCATTGAATCCTTGCAGCAGAACAGCAAAGTGGGTATTCTTATTTACAGATGAGGAAACTGAGTGAGCTCTGGAAAATTAAGGAACTTCCCCAAATTCACATAGTTAATACATGGCAGAACCAGAATTTAAACCCAGACCTACTTGTCTGACTCCAAAGCAACATAGCCTGCAATGCTGCTCCCTTCCCTACTAAAAAATAAATAGATATTAAATATTGGCAGACAGGAGGATTTCAACCTATATAGCAAGATTATTAGATGTCTGGCCTTCCTTCGGCATCCATCCAATAGCATACACAGCCTAGATAGCAACCTTTCCTAGATGCTCTAATTCCTGCTCTGCTTGTGGACTTTCTGGAAATTCATTTGAAATAGACCTGAGAAATCTATAACCATATTTAGACAGCTGAGTCAACTGTAGGAGGGCGGATTCCCTGAACGCTTCTCCTGGATGATTTCCTAGATGACATGGCACAGGTAGAGACACCAACCACGTTTTAAGCTCCCCCTCGGACCTCCACGCAACTTGCTGCTTTCAAGTGATCCCTCTGAATATGTAGAGCTGAGTTACAGAGCACATATTTGCAGAGTTGACTAATAGCTTCTTTGTACCCCATCATGAAAGAACAGACCCTACTTTAATTCTGTTCCTTTCAAAGACTCTACTGTTTTTGAGTTAAGGCTTCATTTGTGGTCACCAGGCCTTTAGGGGGCTCTGTGTTTGTAGAAGAAACGTGATTAAAATCCTGTCCGACACAGCTTTTGCACACTTGAAGATAATAAAAACTACCATTTACTGCAGCAAGACTTCTATGGTTGTTGGCACTGATCTGTCCACACGGCAACATTCTAATATAAGGAAGGTATTCTTATTATTAAGTTAGTGGAGCCCTCAGAGAAATTATGTGACTTGCCCCAAATCACACAGGTTGGTCATGGAGAATTCAAATCAAAATCTGGCTGACTTCAAAAACACCTATCTTTCTACTTTGTGCTGCTCTCTCCTCATATGATACTGAAATCAGCTTGTGCGATCATATCTTCATGTAGTTCATAGTTAATGCTTTTTTCCCTTTTTAATCCTAAAGGGTGATTTTCCAATTTAATGCCATTGAAGTTTATGAAGTGTCGGGTATCTGCTAAATGCATTCTAAGACGTTTCGGACCCGTAGACTCTAATGTCAGAGAGATTCCATGGTTTTTGTTCATGTAACGAAAATGTTCTCAGTACGTGCCTTCTAATTTCAAGTAATGATTGGTGATATCTGAAAGGAGATAATGGGGCGCCACAAAAATGGAGGGTTTCTGATTGTGAATCTTGGATGGAATTGGTCATTGGTTTGTTCCAACACATTCAGAAAATCTTGAGAGATAATATCTTCTGGAATGAAGTTCTGGGAAAATGTTCCCAAGGGGGTGGTACCAAGACCATCTGATCAGTGCGGCTAGGATGATGTCATGAACTGATTGATAGAGCTCACTCGGCGCAAAACTCTTCAACAGATTCCTAGGTAAGTTATGCTTCTGTGATTCCGAAGGAAGAAAGGCCCAAAGTGGTATCAGAATAATTTGCACTCATTATTTCTACATTCCACAAATATTTATTGAACATCTCTGTGATGACACTTTTAAAGAGTAAACAGTTGTTTTGCTAGTTGACTGTTGTGAATAAGAAATAGGTAGACAGACACAGGCCAATTCAGACTAGATATGTATGTATATGTGACTTCATATTGATATTACAAAGCATATTACATAACAAAAATTTTGTGGCAGATAGTGGTAAAGAAGCCAGGACTCAGAAGGTTTACCATCGATGTGTATGCACAGGCATTGGTGAGACAGTCTGACCCTACAGCAGTACATGGTATCATAAGACATATCACTAATCCCACTTAGTTGCCATATCGTCAGACAATGAAAGGCATCATTTTCTATCTGCTTAAAAGTTTTATAGCAAATTTTAAGATATATTCACTAAATGAAATGCTTCGTAGATTAGGATGGACATATATTAGGTGTGGATATAAATGTGAAGCTTTTTAGTTTCCCAGATCAGCCAGGAAAAAAAAAGATAACAATGTAAGAATTCTTCTCTCTGACTTCATTATGTATGGGCCCACAATAGCTAGTTAATAGTCCACCCTCCCCAAAGATTATTTGATACTTAGGTAGAACTGGGCAACTTGGTTCCCTTCCACATGAATATTAAGATCATATAAATGATACAGAGCACTCCAGGAAATTTATAGACAAGAAGCAGAGTTGAGGGAGGGCTGGAAGATTACTACGAGGAGACATCAAAGGTCAGGGGGATTTTTGATAAACCTGATTTAAGTGGCCCACCAGCATGGAAAGGCCTAATAGTTCCCCGTTTTTCTGGACCCTGATTAGGCCTGTTTTTTCCCGTGAATGGGTGATAGTATGACTTTTATCCTGCAGACTTCAAGAGCCTTTATCTTCAGGACAAAATATAGTTCGTGAATTTAGAACTATCCCTCTGGCCTTGAACAAGACCCTTCATCTCTCTGGAGCTCAGTTTCTATATAATATGAGGCCATTGATCTTCCATAATTCTGAACACAATTCCTGTTTTGTTTTGATTTGATAATAATGTTACGAGGCACTTTGGTAGTACTTGCTATGCATCAACCGCAGTTCTAAGTGTTTTATATTTATCGTTAAGTTCAATAGCAAATTGGTTTGAATAGTAAGTACTATTACTAGACTCAACAAAGGGGCAAATGGGGGCACAGAGAGGTTAAGTAATTTTCCTAAAGTTACACAGTAAGTAGCCAAGCAGGATTGAAACCCAATCAGGTTGGCCCCAGAGTTCACCTTCTTAACCACTTTGCTCTACTGCTTCCCTCGCAGGATAAAATGTCATACGATTATAACAGCCCCCTCGTTGTGCATTTAATATCTTTAGAGGGATGTATCAGTTTTCTATTGTACTGTAACAAACTATCACAAACTAAGTGGCTTAAAACAACACTCATTTATTATCTCAGTGTGGGTGAATAAGGAGTCCAGGTATGAGATAGTCGAGTCCTCTCATCGGAATCTCACCAGGCTACAGTCAAGGGATCAGCTATGCTGCGGTTTTCATCTGGAGCTCAGGATCTTCTTCACTGTTTGTTGGAAGAATCGGATTACATTGTGCTTATAGGACTGAGAGCCGTGCTCTCGTGCTGGTTGTAGGCTCAGGGCCATTCTCAGCTCCTAGAGGACAGCTGCCATTCTCTAGCTCCTGGCCCTCTCTACAACATGGAAGTTCACTTCTTCAAAGCCAGCAAGAGAACCTCTCCCTCCATCCTACTGAGATAGAGTCTTACATAACTTAACACAGTCATGGGAGTGACATCTCATCATATTCCCAGGTCCTGCCCACAGTCAA